CCAAATCAACTCTTTATCATTTCTGCATGACAGTTTAGCAAACATTTTTCTGGTCTGGAAAAAACAAAGTTAAAGATTAGTTGTCAKTAATTTGTTCATTACAGTTGAAACACTGCATTTGAGAAAATAAAGTATGGACTTACAAAATTTAATCTTCTCTGTCTAAAGATTCTGTGGCACTATCGTTGGTTTTATTATTTGATGTGCTATACTCAGTGCCACTCAYAAGATGTGTTTAATGTGTTTACCTCTAGTATTGCAGTGCTCTATAGAAACCACACAAATCAGCTTTTGGATATATATTGATGTGGCATGCACCGGGAATTCTAGGCTTATGGCTCATAGTGCACGAGAAGACCAACATGCATTCACACACCACTGCTGTGAATATATTGTTGCTGTTCACCTGTTAAGCATTGTGAAGAACAGAACTGCACTATGCAACAATTATATGATGAAAGGTTATAAACCAATTTTTGGACTGAAAAAACAGGGTATGACAATTATGTGGTGGTGATTATTATATGGTGAAATAAAGCAAAGTAAGCTCTGTTTTTTAAGGAACTTGCTGATTTCATCTAATTTATTGGCTTAAAGTTGTTTATGGGGGCTGGAGATGTGGCTCAGCGGTAGCGCGCTTGCCTGGCATGCGTGCGGCCCGGGTTCGATCCTCAGCACCACATACCAACAAAGATGTTGTGTCCGCCGAGAACTAAAAAATAAAAAATATTAAAAAAAAAAAGTTGTTTATAACATTTCCTCATTATCCTTTCAATGTCTTGTAAAAGCTATAATACCGTCTTCTATTTCATTCCTAATATAGGTGATTTGTGCTTTACTATTTCTTTTTTTTTTTTTTTTTACAGTTTTGTTAGGGGTTTAACTTTACTAACCTCAAAGAACCAACTTTTGGCTTTGTAATACTTGTTAATCAGTTTTCAATATAATTGACTTTTACATTTATCTTGAATATTTCTTCTTACTTAGATTTAAAAATTTTTCTCTGGTTTCTTTTTTTTTCAAATACATAAATATTTTAAGCTACATAATTTAGGAAGCAAATACAATTACTGATTTAGTCTTTTACTTGTTTATTTCTCTGGTTTACTCAACCTTGAAAGAAATTTCTAATTCTTAGGGAAAACTTTCTAGTGTTTCAGTAAATATACCCGTAGAGGAGTATACATAAGAATCTAAAGAATATTATAAGGATCTAAAAAGCCTCATACTCCTGTTACATAACTCTTGATTTTTTTCACTCCATCTCAAACTGGGTTTCATGTGTTTACTCTAAAGATGCTTGTATGTTAAGAACCCTTAGTTCTGGTTTTGAATGCTATGTTGTAATTTACCACTGATTCATTCATCTGTACTCAAGTTTCTGGATGTAAATTTAGGTTAAATATGACTTCAGTTAATTTTTTTTTTAATTTTTAATATTTTATCTTTAGTTGTAGTTGAACACAATACCTTTGTTTCATTTATTTATTTTTATGTGGTGCCGAGGATTGAACCCAGGGCCTCCCATGTGGTACTGCTAAGCCACAACCCCAGCCCATTTTAAAGTTTTAACTATAACATACCAACAGCAACACTAGTACATTGTCTAGATTAAATTCTCCTTTGTTATAAACACACTAATTTTTTTTACTTTTAGTTTTGGTATCGGGGATTGAACTCAGGGTACTCGCCCACAAAGCTACATCCCAGGTCCTATTTTTTATTTTTATTTATTTAGTTTTTAATTAATTAATTTTACAGTAGAATGTATTTTGACATATAGTAAACAAATATTTTTTTTAAAGAGAGGGAGAGAGAGAGAGATACAGAGAGATAATTTTTTTTTTAATATTCATTTTTTAGTTTTCAGCGGACACAACATCTTTGTTTGTATGTGTGCTGAGGATTGAACCCGGGCCGCACGCATGCCAGGCAAGCGCGCTACCGCTTGAGCCACATCCCCAGCCCAACAAATATTTTTTTATTTTGTTATTAGAAACAGAGTCTCATTGAGTTGCTTAGAACTTCATCATTGCTGAGGCTGGCTTTGAACGTCACTGGGATTACAGATGTGCATTACCGCGTCCAGTCCCACTTACACTAATTTAATGAGTCTTTTTTTTTTTTTTTTTTTTTTTAGTGATTGCTTGTATTTTTATATTTATCTTTGGGGACTAACTCCCTCACTCTTTTAATAATTCATTTCAATTCCTGATTTTTAAATACTATAAAGTATTATTGAAATAGATTATTTTCTTTATACTTATCCTGGATACAAAAAATGGTTTCTATCATAAAATTCCTTCAAGAGTTCTTTTTATTTTTTGGTACTGGAAATTGAACTTAGGGGAACTCGACCACTGAGCCACATCCCTAAACTTTTTTTGTATTTTATTTAGAAAAAGGGTCTCACTGAGTTGCTAAGTGCCCCACTGCTGCTGAGGCTGGCTTTGAACTCGCAATCCTCCTGTCACAGCCTCCCCAGTTGCTGGGATTAGCCAARAATTCTTTTTAAAGGGGCTGGGATGGTGGCTCAGTGGTAAAGCACTTGCTTAGCATGTGTGAGGCACTGGGTTCCATTCTCAGCACCACATGTAAATAAATAAAAGTCCATCAACAACTGAAAAAAAA